AGGGTGCCTGGTTCTAATGCCAAGAGTTATGTAAAATGATTTTTTTTTTTAAAAGCAGGGGAGGGTGGTGTTGTCAGGAGCTGTAAATCTGATGCTTAGGGACTTTAGTCAATTGGCTGTCTTTTGTTGTATTTTCCCTTGAGGAGGTAATTTAAACGTCCAGTGTTATTGATGGTCTTAGAGGGGAAAAAAACCCACAAAAAACAACTTAGCCCAGTGGAAAGAGCAGGGGTGCGGTAAGTTGAGATGGGGTTTTGCTTCTGTCCTCTCTTTATAAGCTACGTGATTGGGGCATAGGGTTGTGTCACTCTGAGCCCCACCATCGTGATCTTGGGAAGTGTGATAGGGTCTCCATTGTTACTCTGCCAGCCCACAGAGTCAATTCATCACCCTGAAAATGACTGGCTGAAAATGTGCCTCCACCCAACCAGTAGCCCAAGGTACTTGTACAACTTAGCTAGGGCTTTGGGATCAGACGTGCTGGAATTCAAATCCTTGCTTTGCTGCTGTCCAGATGTGTAGACCTTTTCAAGATTCTTCATGTTGTCAGTCTTAGGCTTTCTAATCTGTAACATGCACATAATACTGCAATTCCTATTTCCCCAGGTTTCTTTGAGGAGTAACTGAAGGAATACAATGGATATGTAAAGTATGCCCACCCCCTGCATCATCATCATCTTCTTCTTCTTCTTCTTCTTCTTTTTTTTTTTTTTTTTTGTTAAAGTCCATTTGTCCCTTTCCAATGGCCTGGATTCATTTAAAAGAGAAGGATCAGGACAGCCACGTGATGTGGTGAAACCTCTTTTTTGATAAAACAGGAGGCCCCTAATTTCTCAAACCTGGCTGTCCACTGGAACCACCTGGGGGCAATTAAAGGGCTCCTCATGGTGGTCCTCAACTCCAGAGATGCTGCTTCAACTGGACAGCCGTGGGACTCTAGCCTCGAGGTTGTAAAACTCCCTAGGTGTTTCGGATGTGCACTGGATACACTCATTGGTTTGCAAACTTCAACATAAATTACCTGGAGAACTTGTTAAAATGCACATTTTGAGTCTCCAGACTGGGGATGGGGCCTGAGATTTAGCATTGCTGATTAGCTGCCAGAGGAAGAAGGTGCTGTGTAGGCTGGGCCCATAGTCTGGAAGGAGAGTGGCTGATGACCCATAATCATTTTTCTCAACCTTCGGTGTTTACTAGCATAACCAAGGGGCTTACTGAAAACACAGCCCTGGGACCTGGATCTTGCCCTCACAGTTCTGTTTCCCTTAGATTACAGAGGGGCCCCAGAGCATTACTGATGGGTAATGTTCAACCCCCAATCTCATGATGCTAATTTTGTGATTTTTATGATAGGACCTCTGTCCAAGATCAATTGTTCACTACCTAACTCTTGAGTCTAAAGTTGCACTGTGGGAATTTGAGATTGGGGTCTTGCTTCTGTCCTGTCTTTATAAGCTGCGTGATTTGGGCACAGGGTGGTACCACTCTGAGCCTCAGCATCGCCAGAGCATTCACTGTCAGAAACATGAAAGATGGGCCAGATCAATCTGTGTGATGTTGAGACATGGCTGACCTTTGAAATCACATGCATCTCCAACCTCCAGAATTCTGCCCCGCCCCCCATTTTCATATCATTTTGTCAATGAACTTTCTTTTATTTATTTATGTGTGGAGCTGAGAATCGAACCCAGTGCTTCACACTTGCTGGGCAAGCGCTCTACCACTGAGCCACAGCCCCCTCCCCTAGATTTCTCCTTTTGAGTCCAAGGGGGCTTTTGTAGAATTCCTCTGTGTTGACAGGACTGACTGTTGGTGAGCCACCCACAAATTAACCAGGAGAGCATCCCTCCCTGACAGGAGGCAAATGGGAAGCCTCTGGACTGTTCTCTGCTCTCCATGACACATCGTGGTTTTTGAAAGCAGAATCCCAGAGAGACAGTTGGTCTTCCCAACCTTGGGTTCAAACCAAGGAAAAATGGAGATGGGAGGAAAAGAATAAGCTGCTTATTCCGCAGGATGGATTGCTGACCTTTGAAAATCTCCAGGACTTCCCAAAGAATGTGCCTGGTGACAGATGCTTCCTTTCTGGCTTTCTTTTTCTTCTTACCCTTCTAGATTCCCCTCATGCTAATGAGCTAGAATGTCCTCTATTTAGGGGAAGGCTTATTAACACTTTCCAAGAAAAGTTATAAAACAACCACGAGGCAGTCAAAAGCGTGGTTCTGAAATTATTGCCTTGGAGAAACATATGGAAAGGGCTGTTTTCCTAGAACATCATGAATTTGTAAATAAAGTAAAATTGAGGTAAGGGCAATCATATAGGAAGGAAAGATACCAATGCCCAGATTTTCTTGCTTTCCCTTTAAAAGTATTTATATCTATAAGAACATTGGACCAGTCTATGGAAATAGCTGTGTGACAGTGAGAAAGGACAAATGAAAATGCAAAAACCCATACCAGGTCTGTGGACACCCTCATTCCAGGTACTCAACTCTGCACTGTGCTCCTGGGGTCCTGGTAGACCTTTGATAAAGAGGGTATTACGTGGGGGCTACCTGATCTGGCTAACAGCCCTCTGCACCTGGGCTAGACTGACTGAGCAGAGAGCTGCTATGGGCTGAGAGGCACCCTAATTACCCCCTTCTCAAGAGGTGGCCACCCTACTGTGCTCCTTCCTGGTCTCAGGGCCTTGCCGTTGGTTAGGTATGGGCTTTAGCGTGACCCTCTAAAATGTAAGTATCAAATTTAAGAGGCCAGGGTACTCAGGCTATTTCCTGGCTTCCTTATGAAATCTCAGAGTAGGGATGCCTCTTTGCCGGGATGTTGATTCCATTGATTTTCTGAGGTGTAGTGTGCCTAATATGGCAGCCACTGCCTTAAACACTTTTAAATCTTGCCTCATTAATGCTCTTAACAACGTATGGATTAGGCATTATTAGGGTCTCCACTTTGCAGAGAGGTCTGCCTCTAATGTTTCTGTCCCAGGGTGGTAGGAGAGTAACTGGATGGGATGGATTGCTTCTTAATTGTGGATCCCTACACTGATGGGCGGGCTTGATGACCACTGTTGGTGTTCCCGACTAAAAGGAAAACTCCAACCAGCTAGGTCCAGGACCTCCGAACACCTGGACTTCTGATTCTGGGAGTCTGGAGCTTTTCAAACACCGGCCTAGATGACATTTGGGCAGCCTCCAATGCCTCCTGCAAATCAATCCAGGATTCCTCAACTGGAACATTATCCTGATTACCCTCGGATGAACAGGATCCCAGGGAGCCGCAGTAGCTTATGCTACCACCTCCCCTGCATTCTCCAGCATTCCAGCTCTGGTGTCTAAGCCACAGTCACTGATGGTGACAATCTGACCACTCCGCCCCCAGCTCCATCTGCTGTCAGCCACCAGGCTGCCTTGAATTCTCTGAGCCTCCCACACCCTGCCCGCTTCCCTTCCACAAAAGCCAGAAGCCCATCATCTCCTTCAAGGTTTAATCCATCTCCAAGTCAGGAAAAAATGGACATCTTAATTCTCTATAACTAACTGCTGTTCCCCTTCTTGCTTTGCCAACAATGGAGCCCCTCAGGTGCGTGACCCCATCAGGGAATGTGATCCTCCCGTTCAGAAGGAATGGGGCCATGTATAAATTCAGAACAGGCTGTGGGACAGAGTGAGCCTCCCTTCCAGCCTCTGCTCTGCAGCTTATTCCAAAATCTTTGTAACTCAGACCATGCAGGAGATTCTACCAGTCTCTGTCCCTTCTCCTTCCCTAGCTACACTCCCATGTCTCAGTGGCAGAGAGTAGCAAGGCTGCTTCCTTCCACCCGGAAGGAGGAAAATTAGATATTGTATCATTTTTCCTAATTTAAGCTCTGCTGATGAACATGTTGACCCAAGGAAATCAACCAAATCATTCCCAGCCCCTCTGGACTATCAGAAGTCTGGTCCATGCCCTGGAGAAATGGAAGCAGGAGGTTTGCAAACCCTCAAGGTTACCATAAAAGTTGGCTTGAGAGCAAGTTTAAAACAATTCACAAGACCACTAAGAAAAGCCATTACAGAGTATTATCAGTGCCTGGTGTGAAGTCCCCATCTTATAACAGTAAAAGATGCCAGGATTATAAACATGGAATTTTCTGCTCAGCTCAGCTCTCTTTGTGACTTCCAAGAATTCAATGACTTTTCTATTTAAATATAAGCCCATTTTATTCCTTCTCAATTTATCACCTATACCATTTGGGACATGCCCATCACCAGGTTGCTTTGATTGAACAATTAAAATGTTCATCGGAAAATGGAAATTATGCTTTAAAAAATCTTGTACCTATCAGATGATCCTATAAAACACTCTAGCTTATTTTGTTACTCTAACATGGTGGTAGAACATTCTAAATGCACCTTAGAACAGAAGAGCAAACAAACAGAGACTAATTGATCATCTTGAAATAGGTAATGAAAATGTGCACATCAGCCACACTCCCCACAGGGTTGTTCCTGACTGCACCTTGAATGTACCCTGTTAATTCTCCATGGCACTAACTAAAATCGTCTAAAATAGCTAAGGCAGTATGGAAGCTCTGTGCTGATCTTAAGAGCCCCTAGCCCAGCTGACTCCCCTGAGCTCTGTGAAGGTGCCCTAAGATCTCATCAACTGCAGTGTCTGCAAACTTGAAATTTTCCAGGCATAAAAGCATTCCTGATTCCTTTCCAAAGCAGGCTTTGGACTCAGGAGAAGGGGAAATCATTTTCTAGCACAGCTTTTAGAAGAGCAGTTGTACCCCAAGTCAGATACATTGTTTCTGCCACATGCAACAGGTGTGTATTTGTTTATTCTACTCTATACCTGCTACAGTTCCAGCAGCAGCTTCGGAGAGGTTATTAACTAAGAAATATCCATTGCTGAACTTCTGAGCCAGAGCCCAAGTTGTCACAGCCTATACCCTGCACTGTTAATATTAAACCAGCTTGTAAACAGAGGGCTTTCCTCCTTTCTCCCCATGTCATTACCTTGAGCTCCTTGACTGTAGAAAAACCTTTGAGCCGACTCAACATCCAAGAGTCTGTGAGCAGACTCAACGTCCAGAAAATAATCCATTTTGGGATAATCCATCCTTGATGTTTCAGGCACAGAATTTAGAGAGAAAAATCTTCACCTGGATGCCTATAAAGAGAAGAAAATGCACAATATTTTAGACTGTCAAGAATTAAAATATGGATACACTTTAAATTTTTTGAATAAGAACAGTCCATTAAAATATCCCATTATTTGACTGACATTTCCAATTCTAAGCAACCCCTCCCCTGCCCCACCACCATTCAGCAGCACTTTCCTATTGTATGAGAAAATATAACCTTTAGCTAACATTCATTTAAAGTAATATATTCTACTCAGGAAAAACAGATGATCCAAGCTAAAGAGAGATAACATACCGGTCTCTCCCTGCTGTACATTAATTGGAAAATACACTGTTAAATTCACAGGCTATCGGTTTTCAAAACGTCTGATGAATGGCATCATTAGCGTCAGCCATCGAAAAGGTTGATCCTCAATTGATCCAGGGACTTTTGGATTCCCCTCCAGCAGAGAGAACTGCCTGGGAATGTGACTCCGCTCATAGGAGCCCTGAGTTTATGACACACTGACTTGTTTGCTATAGAAATGCCCTGAATTCCTTCCTTCTCATCGATTCCCTCTGGCACATTTTATAAAGTGCTATAGGATCCTCACCTGCCTACACCCGACACAGGCTGCTTAGGAGAAAGAATTGTGGTTCTCAGAGCAGCAGCAATTACTGCAGCCTTGCAATGATTCCCACAGTAGTATCATGCACTTGCCCATCAGGAAGCGAATATGCTTCATCAAGGAGAATCCAGCCGCTTTTTGCAAACCCTGTGTAGCCTTTCCCTGATATTTGCACAAATGAAGTATCTATTTCAGCAGGATTTTTTTTTCTTTTAGAAAGAATGAACAAGACAAAGTCATTACAATGAAGCTCAGAAGGCTAATTGAATAGCTTTCTCTTTCTACCAGTACATGTTTTAATTTAAGAACCCAAGTCTGGTATGAGAAAACTTTTTAAAAATACCCAAAAGGTACCCAATAGTAAATTATACTTACTGCAAAAAAAAAAAAAAAAATTGAGGGCTGCCGGCAAACAAGAGCAGTTTCAGCCAGATGTCTTTGATCTCACTAAATATTCCCAGTGAAAGTAAACAATTTTGATTGTTTGATTAGATCAGAGATGAATAATGCATTCTGTCCACTGGACTTCCTTTATCAGATAAAATGGCCAGAGCGCGTTACCTTAGCAACAGAAGGTGACGCCAGCCACAGCCTCTCTGTACCCTCCCCTGTGGAGGAAGAAAAATACCAGTTTCCCATGCAAAACTTTGGCAGCAAACCATCAAAATCCACATGTAGATCTGATATCGTTTAGGGTCTTTCCTTACCTCCCCCCATCTTTTATGCAGAGAAGTGCCATAGTCACTAAAAAGCAGATTTGTGGTGTAATGAGTTATTTGCACAACCCCAAGTCCCTGTTGGATTTGCAATCAAAACAGAAGAGCACATGAAATGATGAAACAATGAATAGGACAAAGTTGTCTGCAACATTGTCCTGGGGCATCCATTCCCACTCTGATGCTGACCTAAGGGTGACAGAGATGGGAGCTGGCGAGGAAAGGCCACAGGAGCCGGCTTATGTTCGGCATCGCTGGTTATAATTAATACACAGAACAGTCACCGGCATTGAGGCTGAAAATAACTCTTTCCTTCTGTGAATCAGTCACTGGAAGCAGCTTTAAAAGCTGTCTGAAATTGCCCAGATTTTTGAAAGACGCATTAGAACACAGATCGTAGGGGAAATTCCCCTCCTCTTGGAAAAGGAAAGGTAGATAGAAAGGTAGATAGAAAGGTAGATGGAAGGAAGATTCTTCAATTAGCAGATACTCACCAGCACTTGTTGACCCCTTTCCACAGGACACCGGGAGAACACGAAATGAAGCTGAGCAGTGCTGCTGAGCCCACAAGCCCAAATGAGCAGCTCCTAATTTTCCCTTCAATCTTGAGTCAAGAGCCCTGAGTGGAGGAAAGTGACGGATTTGCCCATTTTATATTGTGATGAAATGCAACCCCTAAGAAGAGATCTGAGTGGGGCTGCTCTTTAGAACACATTAGACTGCTAATTTAAGAAAATTGAAAGGTTTTGTTTTACTGTCTTTTATATATTCTTCTCTGCTACCCCCTCAATTTAATTTGCATTTAAAATTATTCTCATGTCTCCACGGCTCTCGAAGGTGTGGAGCACTTTCTAATCACGAAGGCTGCTCCGGTAGGGTTTGGTGCAATGCCACTTTTATTCTGAGCTGCAAAACAAGGTGGGTAATTATAAATGTGAGCTTTTTTTTTTTTTTCTGGACAGAAATACAGAGGGCACGTTTGGTTTGGCTCCCTCCCTCTTCCTGCCTCTGACAGCCTGGTTAGATCTCCAACACAATCATGCCAATCTTTCTCAATGCATTCTTCTCTGGGTGAATGTCACAAAATAATCCTGGCAACCAAAAGAAAACTTTGGTAAGGTCCCTGAGGTTATGCTGGCCTGATAGCCTCCCTCCCACAACTCAGCAAGAACATGGAGGTGCAATTCTTGGAGATCAGCTTGTGAAAAGCAGATTGATAACCACATCGGCCTTATTGTGTACTCTCCACAACCCTCTTGCACCCTTTGTGGATGGAGCAGAATTGATTATTAGTGTGGTGTGGTATGCAGCATATTGGATTGTCAAGAAGGGAGAAGCAGCATCTAAAGAGACCCGGAGGGACGATCGTGGGACTCCCCTCCCCAGTGTGTACAATTCTGCCAGCCTCCCTGGACACAAACCAGGAGATAGTCAGCTGTTGTCTCGTGGGGCTTGCCCACCCAACCAGCGCGAATCAGCGTCCACGCTGGTGCTGCAGAGAGTTCAGCCCGATGCAAGAAGGTTGAAGCCTCTGTAGGGAAGTCAGCCAGGACTCTGAATGCTCCCAGCTCGGCTCAGCCCCAAGGACTCGCTGCTCTAAGGTTACATTTCTATTCAGCCCCCAATGGAGGCGCACTGAACACTTGACATTTACAAGAGGAGAAAGCTGTCTTCTAGTTCCTTTCGCTTACAGTCAGGTGTGGGCGACAGGTTCTGAACCCTCTATTGTGATTCCTGGGAAATTGTAATGACTCATAGGTGAGGGAGAGGGAGAGAGGGAGAGGGAGAGAGCGCACAAGTGTGCTGCTGGTGACAAACACCAAACATTTAGGTGAGTGGCAATGAACGTGTGATGGAACAAGGGGACGCTAAATAGGACACTGGAAAAACAGAGTTGCTTTCCGGATTTGGGGCTGGGTTTGGAAGCCCGGCATTTCTGGAGAGTTGACCAAGAGATGGAAATTTGGAGAACCTTACAAAGGGAACAAATTATATAAAAGGGCCACAATTAAAGAAAACTCACAGGGGGAAAAATTCAACTTAAGAAAATGTAGGGCTGGGGTTGTGGCTCAGCAGCAGAGCGCTCGCCCAGCGTGTGTGAGGCACTGGGTTCGATCCTCAGCACCACATGTAAATAAATAAAATAAAGGTATTGTGTCCACCTACAACTACAAAGATATTTAAAAAGAAAAGACATGTATTTGGGAAGGGGATGATAATTCTCTTGCAAAAAGGGGCTTCATTTTATTTGATCACCAGATTCTTTCAAATTATGTAACCAGCTTCTGAAATAGATTTTTTTTAAAAAAAATGATTTCATTCTCTGGGAAACAGAGCTATAGATTTCATATAGGAATATGTATGTGAGGACATTATTTTCGAAGGCAGGGAAAGATAGTAATGTTCAAAAGGCAATGTCAAAATTTGAGCAGCTCAACTGTTTTATAACTTGAATCTGTTCAAAAGCAGATATGATAATATCAGAGAAGGTGGCAAGGTTAGTCCAAATATTCAGACGTAGCAACGAACAATTCACCTCAAAACACTTTAGAGACTCCGGCTCTGTGAAAATTAACTCGTATGGAATTAACAGCTCATGTCCCAGAAATCAAACATTTTTTGAAAATTCGGAAGTAGATTCATGTCTTTTACACTGATGGCACCTGGTAGTGTAGTCTTTTCTGCTTCTGGTTTGGTGGTAAGAGGACATGTGTGAGAGTGTTCTATAGACTTGGGGAAGAAGTACCGAGTAAATTCAAAATAGAAGCGTATTTCATGAAGGCATCTAGAGACATATAAAGATATCAGCTTGTATTAATTTATCTTTGGGGTATACTTTTTTATCCTATGGGATGGCATGGATTCAAACATTCAGAGAGAGAAGAGGAGATGATTTGTAATTAGATAACTTGCTCTTTTTATACCATCTGATGAACTTCCATTGGAATCAGTCTGGGCTTAGTCTGTTTGCTTAAGGTACTTTATAAATTTCCAATGAGGTTTTTTTTTTTTTTTTCTTACTTGATTGCCTTTTTATGTTCCAGAACTCTCTAGAAGACTATATTTTGTATTTGTGTTAGATCATGTGAAGTTCTGCCTTCTACCTACATGGAAACTTGGGGAAGTTTCTCTTTTTCCTAATAAAACAAACCAAGTGTAACTTTAAAATATTAGAAGCTCTCTTAAAGTGTGACGACACCTTGGATCTCTTGCAGGGTACTCAGGACGATGACCTTGGGTGAAGTGCCAGATTTCTACATAAGTGCAGTTGTTGCTCTCTGGGTCTCTGTGGGGACTGTTCCAGGAACCCCCATGGATACCAAAATCCCAGATGCTCAAGTCCCTTATGTACAATGGTGTAGGATTTGCATAAACCTATATACATCCTCCTCCTGTATCCTTTAAAGCATTTCTGGATTACTTACAATATCTAATACAATGTAAATGGTATGTAAATAGTTGTTATACTCTATTGTTCAGGGAATAGTGACAAGAAAAAAGTCTGTCCAGTACAGATGCAGGTTTCTTTGACTAAATATTTTAATCTGAGGTTGGATGAGTCTGTGGATATGGAACCCATGGTTACTGTATAGAAAATAATATTAATTTTTTTTAATAAATAGTTAACCCTCAAATAGATTTGTTTCAGGAGAAGTGGTTCCTCTGTTTGATAAGGTACTCTTATCTTCCAAAGTTTCATTTATTAGAAATATATCCTTCCCTTGCTCCTTAAAATCTGATATCAAATAGTAGGGGTCCTGCAAAGGTTTTATCTAAGGCATTGTTCATATTCATTCTCCCTATGAGATGATACTTCCAGCCATCTTCAGTTATTTTTACTTGCAATGAATTTTCAGTCCTTATTGAGAAAGTTTTAATAATAGTTGGAAAGATAAAGAAGGCCGTAAAGGTAAGAAAAAAGTTTCACAGGGAGGAGGAGCTGACTTCTGTTCCATATAAGCCTGTAGGCACGTTTTGGGGGCCCACCTTTGCATATGATGTCATATTCTCCTAGGAAAAAAGCGTTAAATCTGTAAACATCTCAGTTAGGTCCAGCACCTGAAGTTGCCCTGAAGGTCCAAAATCAGATTCCTAAATCCTATTCGAGGATTTATGCCAAAGGAGATCCCGTTGGCCAGCCCTAGCTGGAGAGAGCCTCACTAGGGGAGGAGTGTCCTGGCCAATGTGTTGGAGGCCAGAGTCCAGCAGAGTGGGTTCCTTGGCTCCACTGGTTACCACTTCTCAGACTGTTCTTTGCCCTCTGTGAGCACCCAGTGATGGAACAACGTGTTGACAGCAGTATGTTTCCAACCTGAGCTTTGCAGTAGATGATGATGATGATATTTGACTTCACTCTTTCTGGAAAGAAAATAATGTTGCTCCCAATTCTTTGCTTGACTGTTGGTGTACTTTATTTTAAACTCTCCTGGAGGGGGCTGAAAATTATCCCCAAGTTTCATAGCACTTCCCTACTCCTAAAAATCCAGATAGCAACCTGAAGATAACCAAAGATGCGTTGAAGAAAAACACAATAATGATATCTAGGGGCCACAAATCTAATGCACCCTACCCAGACCGGCGGGCCCCTGAGCTTCTCAAGCACATTGGGAAAACCAGACTGAACACGGCCGTGAGAACACACAAGAGGCCGTGAGTGTGAGTCCTGTCAAAATACTATGTCAAAGGGAATTCGGAGATGGTTTCATTCTTTTTGGGTTCTAAATGCACTGTCAGATTCAGGTGCAAGTTCTTTGTGCTTAAATGTTAGTGTTTAACATTCTCCTTATGTATATATATATATATATATGCAAGGATCGTTGATGCATATGTTTATATAACAAATATTATTATTCATGACACAATCCCCAGTTTGATTTATTTTTTAGAGCTAAATAGCTGTAGGCTCGTTCACCTGATGGCACTGGAGAGACTCATATCACAGATATCAGTTTTCCCAATTAGAATGTTCTACACCCAATGGATTGAAGGTAACAAAAGACCCAACTCATGATGCTCAGGGCAGAGGATGGCAGGTGGGGCTTACTTCTGAAACAAAGAGGATCTTACTTCTACTCCCTGTATTTTAATTTCTCATAAACCTGATGGGTACATGAAAACAGAAAAACAAGATCTGTCACTGAGCCACCAAATACTCATTGCTGTACAGTTAGCACGAAAGAAAGGTCATTAAGTCATTCAGGAGACAGTGCAATGATGTAGTTAGAAATGTTGGCGTGGGAATCTAGGTGCTTATTCACTGAGCTGGTTAACTTCTGTTTTGGTTTCCATCTCTGTGGTATCAGAATAAAAATCAAGGGCAAGAGAGATAATACATGTAAACAGTGACAGAACCCAACATGCAGAAAGTAGTAAGGTTAGTACTATTTAGAAATATTTTTGGACAACGTACATACACAAGGAGTTATAGAAATAAGACACCTGTCCCATCCACCCAAACCACATCCATCTAGTATATCTTTTGCAGCAGTACCTCCATCACCGTCTGTGGCTCTAGCTTATGTTGTAGTTACTAATGAATATGCGAATATTAAATGAGTTAATATGGGCAAAGCATCTGGTATGGTACTGGGCTTGTAGCATTGCCTGGGAAGGGTTAGTGATTATCGTTATTTTTCCATCAAAGAGAGTTCTCCAAGGTGCATTCTTGGTGCTGGAGGAACATGTAAAGTTAGGGAGCATCAAGGACTCACGCCAAGTTATTTTCACCAGGAGGGCATTTGTCATGCTTTTGACTACCTTGGTTTCCTGAGAAAAAGTTTGCAACAGTGAGTTAAAAACTAGCAGAATTTTTAC